GCCGCCTCGTGGCCCCCCCCCTCAGATGCCAACCTCCCGGTGGGGCCTGGAGACCCCCCAGCTGGCTGCCTGGGGGGGGGGGAGACAGAGTGACACCACGTGACGCTTTAGACCGGGAGCGCGGAAGGACGAGAGAGTCTGCGTGCTTCCTTCGTGGGTGCCTTCCCCGGCTGGCTGGGGTGTGAGGAGAGCTCCACGCCGGGCCTCCCCCTGGGATCGCCGAGCCGGTTCTCTTCACGCCGGCTGGCGGAGAGGAGGGAGCGCAGGAAGCCCCGCCGCCGGGGCCCAGAGAGAACGCCTGCTGCCCTGGGCCTGGCCCACAGGAGGAGGGCGCTCCCTATTTCCCCGCCCCCCCGGCGGCAGCCTGAAGAGGTGGAGAAGCGCCCGGCTGTGCCCCCCATCCCTGCAGGCAGGCAGGCCCGGCCAGGGGCGCCACGCTCCTCTCCCCTCCCTCCCTTCCTCCCCTCTGGGGAGCCCCCAGCCCAAGTCGGCTTCCTAGGGAGCCGAGGGATTTCAGCCCCAGCTGAGCGGAGCCGGCCCGTGCCGGAGAGGGGTGGGGAAAACTGACATGTGCTCGGCAGGAACGGTGGCAGGGCAGTTGGCGCCCTGGACGGAGCTACTAAAACCGGTAAGCCATGGTACAATAGTTAGAATGCTGGACTAGGATCTGGAAGGACCAGGTTTGAATTACTACTCTGCCATGGAGGCTCACAAGGTGACACTCGGACAATCACACACACACTCTCTCTCAACCTAATCTAACCTCACAGAGTTGTGAGGATAGAATGAATGGGAGAATGATGCTGTAAGCCAACCTGGGCCTCCACTGTGAAGAAAAATACATGCCCATCTTGTATAGGTCATGTTCTAATACTGCAGTATTACATTAAAGTTCGAAAGCATTTTCTCCCGAACATAATAAGCTTTATGCTAACTATCCTTTGGCTGTAGAGGATTATTTCATATACAGCAAGAAGCCAAGCAAGCAGGCAGCCTCTGTCCCTCAGTAAAGTTTCCGGTGATTTGATACGGACTTCCTGCTAGATGTCCACTGACATCCAGGTAACACAGCTAACGTCAAGGAAATGGCAAAGAGATCGTTTTTGCTTAGAATGTCGCAGGAGGTCAAAGGCTTAATACACTCCCACCCAAACCTGTGCGTCATACTTATGCTTACAGGATACATAAGCAAGCAGAACCACCACCACCCCTAACAAAAGCCTTAAAACACATTACTCCAAAGTCTAGCTGTACGGGGAAACAGTGAAACGTCTTAAAATTGAAAGGGGCATTAAGACATACACTGTAATCAATACCTGGGGTTTGAAAGCTCGCTTTTGGTGATGGTTATCCTTCACCGAAATAGAGAAATGAGTGATTTTATCTAATATTTATGCAGCACCATCACCAAAATAAATGCAGGTATTTACTAAATTTGTTTTCTGTTTTTCCTTTGAGAAGCTCAGAGCAGCATCAGAATCTCACAGCCAGCCCATTAAGTCATGTGGCTAATGCAGGCACTATAGAAATACAGGGATTGGAATTTGGATTCCCTCACATCCAGTCTCAACATTTTAATCAATATTCCACATTTGTTGTCAAATAGCAGCTGCATAAAGAAAAACTGGTTGAACCAGTATGTTCCCGACCGGGTAGATTCCTAAGAAAAGTATCAGAAATCCAATCCAGAGCCTTGCAGCTACAATAATCTTGGAACAATTCCGGTGCTATAAGAATGTTAAGGTCAACAGAGACCTAAAATTGTGAATATGAAAATGAAATGAAGCTGTACGAGGAGTCAGAAATGTCCATATTCCTATCCCATGACAGAGTTCTTCCAAACTCCAAATTGTGAAGCATAGGCTCTGATATTGAGGCAGGAAACAGCATTGCCTAGTAGTTTTTTTAAAGATGATTCACCAGAATCCCCCCCCACCCATTTCACAGACATGGAACTGCCATACCACTAAATGCTCATTCTTAAAGATAGTACAGATAGTAAAGATAGTACAAACCTGCAAATAACTATTCTCCACATGTCATGGCACAAAACTGTTCATATGAGTTATCTGCCCTATAGTCACAATTCTGACTGTAGCCATGAGCAGAGAGCAGCAGTGAAGGTTCCTCAAGCCCCGATCAATTTAATGAGCACAAAATCCAAACGTGATTCCAAATTGCACAAAAAGTTTATTTGCATTAATCTAGTACATTTAAAACTTCAGGGACTAGACCGAATTCAAAGTATTTTTGGCGAGTTTGATTCTTCTTCTTTTTTTAAAAAAAGCAAACAACTTTTCACTCTTAAAAACACACACACACATTAAAAAGACCATAAGAAGTTACCATAAAGGCAGCAGGACTAACTGGAGCCAGTTTCATAGTTTCGACAAAAGCTAAGAGCTTTACATATATCTTAGTGGTATTAACAGTACTGCACTTGAACAGAGTAGATGAACTCACAAAAAAAGTGAATATATTAAAGTCAAACACATTAAGTTAAAAAAAGCTGAGGCATTCAGATGTTCCAGGACTTTCACAGTCTGTTCTGCTGTTTCAATTTCATGCTACTAAGAAAATCTAACCAGCTCTGCCCCATCCAGAGGTTCCAATAACATAGGAATTTTGATAAGCATCTCCACCCTTTTCCAATTGTACATGTGGAACATATAACAATATCAACAAGAGCAGTGTGATCCTATTTCTCCAGAGCTCTATGTGCAATCTGGAGCCCTGCCATGCTTTGGAAGTGACTCTGGTATGGGACTGTTTGGTAGACATTGGCTAATACTGTGTGGAAGCAGACTTCCAATGCCCTATGGTTTTCTTAACAGTTGTCCCTTCCTGCAAAATGTCTTACAAGTGCACCTCATTCTAAAATACGAAACAAACCACTGGCAAGACTAGAAGAAATTATATATTACCTTGGGGAGAAAAAAAAGCCATCCCTATAATACAGGTCTACTGTTGACAGGCAAAATATCCAGAGTAAAATCTGAAAAAGACAACGTGTTGTTTCTGTTGTTGTTTTTTTTAAAAACACTGACATGAAAAAGAGCAAGTTAGAAAAAGAATAAATTCAATCTTAATATAAGACATTCATAGTACAGTGGGACACACTACAGTAACTGGACACAAGTCATTACAGTGAGATTCTAAAATCTTGTTATTCAATGCACATGTTCTACAATCAAATTGCTACCACATTTCATTGTCCCGAATACTAAAAAGCAGCACACTTAAAGCCCGGTTTTGCTACTTTGTCCCAGAACTGATGAGACCTATCAAGTTATTCAAGCTTCGCTCCCTGAAAAGGCCATTTGGGTGTAATTAACTATTAATACTCAAAACTTTATAGGCTATGTCGGGGAAGGACAGAAGGAGTGAGGGACAAACTTCCTACCCATATCCAATGAGAACAGTCTGCCTAAATTGTGGTAAGCCTCGTCATTTGAGCACCAAAGTGTCTGATACATTTATAAAACCAGTTATGCTTTCCAAGAGTGATTTAGGCTAAGAATGGTAACTGCCAGTTGCTTGTTGTACTGGTGCCACATTTCCAGAGTACTTTTACCATATCTAAAACAAATTCATGTGTTAAGTCAGCAAAACTCATATTGTTACAGTGAACCCAAATCAAACCATTCAGTGTCTTGTGGAAGGTAACAAGTCTTCAGGTTAAAGCCTTTGCAGAGCTCATTTTGAAATCCATAATTGTTTAACACACTGTTTCAATAGAAACCTTTGCAAGAGGTATATCTGTCAGCACATTGTGTGGAATGTAGCCATTTCTCTCAGTTTCCCTGTTGGTTCGACTGCACAACAGCAGATACATTTTTATTTAGCGTGTGTACTTTTAAAATTCATTTACAAAACAGTTGTTTTTAGTAAAAGTCACATTAGGACAAGCGGTGAGGAAAAGCTACATTGTTCTGTCTGTGATCTGAATGTAATAAAACAGTTTATGAAAAAGTGGTAGAAAGCAACTTAAAAAAGGAATTAAGTCTCTGCTACTGCATCAACTTCCATAATTCAAAACTGTCATTTAGTTTAAAGTTGCAAAAAATTAAACCCATTAAATACACTTTTTAAAAATTTGTAAACATCAGACAGCCAGTCATTTTTACACTGTTTTTCCTGTTAATGTGGAATGGACTGTTAGTAATGTAGTATGTGGTCTCTTTACCCACAAAGTGAAAGTTAGGCATGCTCTAAAGTCCATTGATTTCAATGGACTTAAGTGTGCAATACTTTGTGTTGTATTGTAGCCGTTGAACACTGACAGCATGTGCAATATAGAAGGGAAATGCTCATGTGCAAGCCACACTGAAATGAGCAGAAGCTGTGTACCACACTTGCGCCACTCTCATTTATTTCAGTAGGGACTTCCACAGGAAAAAATGTTTGGAGAATTGTGCGTTTAGCACTTCATCTATGAACAGCAATTCAAGAACTCATTTTAGTTCACAGTAAATGTGTTCATAAAACTATCAAAGTCAGTGCATTTCCCCCCTGTGCAATATTTCTCCAGAATCTTTTACCCAAATAATACTGAGTTGGAAGCATAGTGCAGGTTGGAGCCGTGTTGTGTATCATAAGTGACGGATGAGATCTGCCGGGCTTCGGTAAAGATACTTCCAGATAGCGTAATAATGAACTGCAGCAGCCGTCGCAACAAACAGATGCCAGATAGCATGGGCAAATGGAATGATCCCATCACTCTTGAAGAAGATCACTCCCATACAATAAATTAAGCCTCCCCAGGCGACTTCTTGAAGTCCATCAGTATTGTTCTGTGGATTAATAAAAGAGAACAAAAGTTACTCTGTGCCCTTGTACCTGCAACTATCTTGACAGTCATAACACTGGAGATACATCAATCCTGTCACGACTGTATACAGACTGAAACACTTGTTAATAGCAGCAGTCATAAATACTGGCCGGAATCCAGCTACTTTACTTGCCACACAGCCCTAATGAGACTTACACCCTTCTAAGCCAATTGCACTATTGAGGACACTAAAGTTTTCTAAGAGGTGACGATTTCTACTAATCCACTCCTCCTACTGCAGACCCCCCCCCCCCCACTACCTTGTTCCTGAGCACCCTCTGACCTCCAGGAACAAAATTTGGTGGGAGGGCTGCAGAAGGAGGATGGAATTGGTAAAAACAAGGTCTTCCGCCACCCTGAATAAGTCTTCTTAACCATGTGGTTGGATACAAGCTATTTTGGTGCAGGAACATAAGAAAAACCCTGCTGAATCAGATTAACACATTCTGTCTAGTCCATCGTGGTGTTTCCAACTGTGGCAAAAATTCCAGGAAGTCCATCGGCAGGGCATAAAGACAAATGCCACCTTGGTTGGCCCTCATCAACTGGTATTCAGCGGCATATTTCTTCAGAACATGGAGATTCTATTTAATCATCATGCCTAAACAGCCACAAAACACAGATAAAGCCCCCAGGAATTTGTCTAATTCAACATCCATATGCTGATAATATCCCCTCTATATATCCTTATCCAAATGTCCTGGTAATGCAGTAGAGGTCCTGAACAGCCGGCTGGTGGCTGTGGTTAATTGGCTAAAAGCGAACAAACTGAAACCACACCCCCAAATGACAGAGGCAATTCTGGTTGGGAAGGAGGAGTCTCCCTGCTTTTGACAGAGTTCAACTGACTCCCCACGTCTGATGGAGTTAACTGACCCTTGCTGACTCAGTTAAAGCCTTGGAGTTATACTGGAACCAACTTTATTACTGGAGAAGTTAATGGAGCTGCAAAAAACACTTTCTACCAACTCAGTCTAGCCCATAAGATGGACCGGACCCTTACCTTGATCTGGCTGATCTGGCCACTTGGCTCCACACCACAGTAATATCGAGACTAGACTATTGTAATGCACCATACATTGGTCTCCCCTCAAAATCAATTTGGAAACTTCAGTTTGTGCAGAAGGACTGGGCTATTATCAAGAGCTAGACAGAGGACGCATATTACATTCCGCAGACACTCCATTGACTGCCCATCTGTCACCAGCCTCAGTTTAAAGTATTGGCTATCACATATGAAGGCATGGCCTTGGTCCCTCTCATCTGCAGGACCACCTCTATTCCTGTGCTCTACCACGACAGCTTCGCTCATGTCAACAGGGCCTTTTGTGGGTGCCAACCTGCAAGTGGGCAAAATCAGTAACTGCCTGCTTTCTCTGTTGTGGCCCCCACTTCATGGAGTGGCCTGCCAGAGGGGGTCAGGGAGGCTCCCACTTTCCTGACTTTCCATGAACTATGTAAAACTGAATTATTCAAGAGAGCTTTCTGCACATGTAATAGGGTTGCACTGTACAAATGGTTCACAAAGCTTTCTAAGCCAGTTGCCTCACTACTTCTTATTGCAGCAAAATAAGTGAATTGTGCATAGTGCAAAAACCCCCCCCCCCCCCTCGGGTCTGGAGTCTCTTTCCTGTACAGTGACAGCCAATCACCATCAGTTAATATATGAAGCTGGTCTTGTTTGTATGTGTGTTTGCCCTATTGTGGAAGGAGCTGCGGTGGCTCAAGTGGTTAAGATGCTGAACTGCAGGCTGTGGAAGGTCAGTAGTTCAGCAGTTCGAGACCTGAGTGTGCCGCATGACGGAGTGAGCTCCCATCTCTAGTTCCAGCTCCTGCCAACCTAGCAGCTCGAAAGCAAGAAATTGCAAGTAGATAAATAGGTACCACTTCGGTGGGAAGGTAACAACGTTCCTTGCGCCTTGGTGTTTAGTCATGCCGGCCACATGACCACGGAAACGTCTTTGGACAGCGCTGGCTCTTCGGCTTTGAAACGGAGATGAGCACCGCAACCCTAGAGTCGGATTCGACTGGCTTTCGAGCAAGGGAACCTTTACCTTTTACCTTGCCCTATTGTGCTGCACCTTATACTTACTGACACTGAATCTCATTTCCATCTGAAAGACCCTTCTTGGACCAGTTCACAGCCTGAATAATTCGTTGTAATTTGTAAACTTGGTTACCTCATTACTCACTCACTATGCCCAATACAGATCCTTAGAGGACTTCACAATGTACTTTCCTCCACTGCAAGAAATATTTGTGTATTCCCAGCTTCTGTTTCCTATTTTTAACCATTTATTGAATCCATATGATGACCACTTTTCTGATTCCACAACTGTTTAATTTACTGAGGAGCGTCTGGTGAGGGGTTCTGTCAAAATAGCTGAGGCATAATGTTCACCAGATTAACTTTATTTACACATTCATGAACACATTCCAATAATTCCAAAAGGCTTCTTGGATATGTTAAATAATTCTCATTTAAAAAATGCTTTTCATCAATTCACCAGAGAGGGAAGTTAGGCAACTGGGTATGCAGTAGGGATGGGCACGAACCAGCTCACAAATCTAAATTCATGATGAACTGGGCCCAGTTTGTGGTTTGTGAACCAAGGTTCATTCCACCCCGCTCCCATGAACCTCCCAGGTGGCTTTGGGAGGTTCGTGTGGCTCGTGTCGGCAGACATGCTGGTGCTGGGAGCAGGGCTTGGAGAAGGCATTTAAAGACACTTCTGAATTCACTTGCAAGTCACGCCATGGTGGCGCAGCTTGCAAAAGCCATTTAAAGGGAATCCTTTAAATGCCTTTTGCAAGTTGTGCCACCTCCACCGTGTGACTCACAAGTGAATTCAGAAATGCCTTCAGATGGAAATGAGACCCAGCTGAGCTCTGAGCAGGGGCAGGAGACAGAGCTGCTAGAGGGGTGAGTGTTTTTTTACTTGCTTTCAGCTGAGGGGATTCAGCTGAGGATATTGTGTGGGAGGACTGTGTTTGGGAGTGTGTGAAAGCGCTTAGAGTTGTTGCAGAGTCCTGGCTGCTTGAGAGAGGGAGAGGAAGGGGCATTGTTTGACTGTGATTGACTGTAATTCAGTATTTAAGAAAGCACCTTGCCAGAGGCATGAGCCAAAAGGTGAGCTAAAGGGCTCTTTGCCTGTGGCTCTTAGCCTAGGGACTCTTGGACTAGGGGCCCTGTAAGAAGCCCAAGACGAGCCAGAAAGCGAAGGCCCTAGGCTCTTTGTCTTCCCCGTAAGGTAAGTTGACTTCGACAAGAAAAACCACATAAATACAAAGG